TATTTGCTTAGCATATTGGTTGAATAAGTATGGTGAAAAAATACAATCTTGTTACACACCTTTCTTAATTTTAAAACATTCAGTGTTTCCATGCTCTGTTTGAACTGCTTCTTGGATCATATACAGATTCCTCATGAGCAAAATTAAGTGTTCTCGAATACTCATGCTTCGCAATGTTGTCCATAGCTTGTCATGATCCACACAATCGAAAGTCTTTGTGTAGTCAATAAAGCACAGGTAAACATCTTTCTGATATTCTCTGCTTTCAGCCATCATCCACAGCACATCAGCAATGATATCTCTCGTTCCACGGCCTCTTCTGAATAGGGCTTGAACCTCTGGAAGTTCTCTGTCAATGTATGATTGTAGCCATTTCTGTATTAACTTTAGCAAAACTTTACTCGCATGGGATATCAAAGAGATTGTTTGATGATTTCGGCATTCCATTGGGTCACCTCTCTTTGGAATGGGCAAAAATAGGGATCTCTTCCAATCAGTCGGCCAGATAGTTGTCTTGCAAATTTCTTGGCAGAGATGAGTGAGTGCCTCCTGTGCTGCCTCACTTTCTTCAAAGATTTCAATTTTTATTCCATCAACTCCTGTTGCATTGTTCTTTGCCAATTCCTTCAATGCACCCTGGACTTCCTCCTTCAGTTTCATTGGCTCTTGATCATATTCTACCTCTTGAAACAGTTGAACATTAACCATTTCCTTTTCATACAGTGATTCTGTGTAGGTCTTCCATCTTCTCTTGATGCTCTCTGCATCATTCAGTAATTTTCCCAGAGACTCCTTCAATAACAAAAGTCAAGGCTTGAATTTTTTCTTCAGTTACCTCAGCTTGAGAAATAGTGAGCATGTTGTTCTTTTTGGTTTTCTGATTCCAGATCTTTGCACATTTTGTCATAATATTTGGCTTTATCTTCTCAAGCTGATCCTTGACATTTTCTGTTCAGCTCTTGGAACTCCTCATTTCTTCCATTCGCTTTAGCATCTCTATGCTAGAGAGCAAGTTTCAGTGTGTCTTCTGACATCCGTTTTGACCTTTTCCTTCTTTCTTGTCTTCTCAATGACTTTTTGCTTTCTTCATGTATAATGTTATTGATGTCATCCCACAACTCTTCTGGTCTTCAGTCTTTAGTGTTTAATGTATCAAATCTGTTCTTCAGATTATCCCTAAATTCAGGTGGGATATATTCAAGGTAGTATTTTGGCTATCGTGGACTTGTTTTCAATTTCTTCAGCTTCAGTTTGAATTTGCATAAGAGTATTGATGGTCTGTACCACAATCTGTCCCTGGCCTTGTTTTGACTGATGATATGGAGCTTT